ATTGTCGAATTGTTTCGAGATTCGGTTGGAACGATTTTGGAATATTTCGTTTAGATGTGAATTTTAATTTATAAATGAAATTCGAGGTATCTCTTTGGCGATTCTAAGGACGGTTCGCTTATTGAGAGATCTCCTCGTGTAAGGCGACAGATCGTGACACTTTCTCTCGCACGCGATACCTCATTCATCGAAACGCCTCGTCGACTGCCTTTCTGAACTCACTGGCCCAAGAAGGACATGGGTTTTTTTTCTAGTGGTAGTTAGAGGTTTCGTTAGAGATATTTTTCTGATTGACAGTTTTCATTAGAAGGTTCGTGATGGGATTATTAGCGACTGTTTGAGCAGTCTTTTTTCTTTGGGAATAATTTTAAGACTGTTTTTTCGTCTTAGATTTTTCTTTTTATATATCCACTTTAAAAATACAGCTATATTCAAAAAATGTGTAATTAATTGGTGTTGAACTTAAAATAAACAATTCTAACATGTTCGTTGTTAAATTAATTTTACAGAAAATTAATGTTAACAAGTACAAAATAAAAATAATATTTATCCTTTTTTCACTAAATTTCACATAAAATTAATGCTAGTATTTCAGAATTAATATTACACAGGACCGAATCGATTTGAAAAAAGGTGAAAACTTGAAAATTTTGAAAAGACATTTTTTCTACCAAAAAAAATTTTATAGAAGCACTATAACCTAAAGATGAAATACTGATTGTCGACTGTCGACTACATTTTAAGTCATCCTGCACGAAAACGAAAAACGTGGTTTCGAGGAAAACACGTTTAAAATTGGAATCCTGACACATCTCCATCGAGTGTACTTGTAACTTCGTTATTTTCACGAATTTCTTCTTAACATTATAAGACCATATTTTTCAGATGTACTTTCAATTTATGTCAAATAAAAAAAATCGACTTTTTAACACTTTCAAACTGGACTTACTCGCCTTAACTCTTTGGGGCATAGTAAGATAAAAAGTGTCCCACCCTTTTAGTACTTACATATGCACGATGGGATGTTTTTCATCCCATCTTGAAACATTAAGATAACAATAACTTAACCTGTTTTCACAAGTTTCACGGCGAGACTATTTGTCTCATCTAATATCGAAATATTTAAGCACTTCTTTTTAAGTTTGAATCGTTTTACATCATAATTCACCGTTTATAAATAAAACAAACCCACTTTGTTAAATTTTTTGAAAATAAAATTACCGTGCAGCTAGAGTCCCTTTTTGGTCTCAAAATCCTGTGTTCCAAAGAGTTCAAGTAACTTCCTAAGTAGCAAAATTCCAATCAGTTCTCCAAGCTTCGTCACCAAGACCAAGAACCTCATAAAACCTCTCTTTCTCTCCCTTTCTATCATTGTGGAAGAAACTTGAAACACGTAGGGCGAGGTACCTTATAGTATAAGCTAGACGAAAGAGCATCGGCTGTGAGTATTCGCGAATGGAGGGGCGATGTCCAGGTAGGGGGAGGTGCAAAAGGTGAAAAACAGTTTGCCATCAGCATAACCGGTTCCATGTATCCTGAGTCTGCGCGTCTCACTGTTTCTCCATGGCTGGATCGTGGCGATTTGGCCAACAGAACAGGCACTCTCGATCATAATCGATCTATGACTGCTACCAGTGCCACTATCGCTGTACAGTTAAGCGTATCCGACACGGTTATCCCTTCTCCTTTACTCCTTCATTTAGTTTCTATTGGGTATCGAAGTTTGTTCGAGTTAACTTTTAGGATGATTTAAGTGGCTTCTGGTGGAGTGGATGATTCGATGATTAGGTTGCTGGATTCAATATGGTGGAGTGGATGTGTGTTTATATGTTGGACGGAGTGTAGGTTTAAGGAACTTTTTGATGTTTCGTAGGGAATCGAGTAGATTGATGGTTATGGAATTTGGAAACTTGACAGCTAGAGAGTAGGGGAATTGAAGGAATCGAAAATTTGGAAATTCGAAGCATTGAAAATTTTTTAATTCACACAGTTGAAAGCTGAAAAATTGGAAAATTTGAATATGTGGAAGCTTAAAAATGAAAAAATTTGGAAATGAGGAAATTCGAAAATTGGAATATTTGAAATTTGGAAAATTCGAAAATTGGAATATTTAAAAACAGGAAAATTCGAAAATTGGAATATCTAAACATTTGAAAACTCGAAAGTTTCAATAATTGAATCTTTGAAAATTCGACAGTTTGAATATTTGAAAATTTGAACATCTGAGATATTAAGACTTCCAAATTTTGTACTGCATACATGCCAATCGCCAGCGGCACATTTTCATTTAAGAGGAATATCCCCATCCTTTTGCTCCTGTACGATGAGCAGCCTCGTTAAGCAATGTGATGTGCGACTTATAATCTGTTTAAGGTACTCTTCCGTTTCCGTCACGGACCATTGGCCATTAGTCACGGGTTTTTCCTCGTCCAGATAATTGGTTAAGGAAGTAAGAGAGGGATGTGGACCAAACGGGTTTGATGTTTTCAGTTTCATAAAGTTTCACGATTTTTTCTCAGAATCTTAATGAACTTCTTGTAGCTACAATTATGTTAATCAAGTAGAATTTACCTTGGCTTTAATCTGTCGAACTTCAGACTTTTGTCTTTCTATGGGAAAGAAATAAGAATTGACAATAGTCATAAACAGAGTTCATGGTAACGTAATTGTACAATAAAATCGAATGGTATTCCAAGAATACAATACTACAATAGTAGACAAATAGAGTAAGATTGTAGATAATAAGAGAAAATATACATAAATCTGTAGATAAGAATATAGACACAAATCTAGATAAAAATGCAGATATAAATTTTAAATAAAATGAAAGCTAAAATAAAATAAAAATCCTTTTTATGTCAAATAACGATATAAGAGGGTTAACATCCTCCACCCACATTTCTCCCCCACTCTTCAACCGATTTTCGTAATTCCAATCACACCTCAGCCATTTGTAGCCAGTTTATAAATAAACAGACGAATAAAGGAACTTCGCCAGGCGTGAAAGCTACCGTAACGAGTCCGGTATCGTTTCTGATACCTTGACACGGTCGACTCGTTCCAGATAAGCTTTCCACCGTCTCGTTCTGCTCCCCTTATCGGCCAACCAGTCATTTTTCACTTTCCACACACATACACACTCATGCACACGTCTGCAAAAATGAAAAACGAAAAAGAGAAAACTATTAACATTCCTAATCCACGAAAGGTCAAGGATAATCCGAACTAGAATCGTAATTACATTGAATTGTATAGCCAGTGGAAGCGATACGCCGAGATTGTAAAATCTGTCAGGCGTCAAAGTACACGTAGTAGTTTCGAGGAAGATAAGGAACTCGATGTTAGCTCAGAATTGGATCTTTCAGTGCAGTATTATTTAAAAAATATATATACCTTAATCCTGAACAGCTGTTAACTGTAAGAAAAAATCAATCAAATAAATAATTAAGAAAAAATGTATTCCATGAAAAGGTTTTTATTACTTATTAGTAAAATATTCAAATTAGTGAATCCTCAAATTTTCTATTACTTCAAAGAAGTGGTACTTTTGCGAGCAGGCCAAGATAACCTACTATTTTAATGCTTTAATTCACCACCTCACTACATATATCGCTTCCACCGACTATACACGGAATTCGACGAAGACCTCGATACAAAGTAACCTCTAACTCATTATTCAGTTCATGGTAATATCGTTCTGGATGAGCAATCAGTTGTTTCACAAGTAATAATCTCAGCCTAATGGCACACGCTAGAAAATTTGCGCTTTGAAGGATAATTAAAGGATAATTTCTCTTCGAAGGGTATACAATTAGTCGAAGAATCACAGCTCCTACAGGTTGAATCGTTGAATAAAAAACATCTTCGAAATAGTAGGTACGTTCTTCGTTTATGTTCTTGGACAAGTAAGAAGGAAGCGTTCGATTACGATCCTCTCGTTTCGCCGGTTGCGTCAACCGTCGAGAAAACGCTTCCGGTTATTATCGTCTTCCTCCTGAGTGGACTACAGTGACCGGTCAGAAGATAGCACTCTCCGTGTGCTCTTAATCTCAGATGGCGTACCCTTAGGGACATTTGATGTTTAGGTGATTAATGATTGTGACGAGGAAATTCTGTTACTCAGGGTTTTCTTTTTCAATTTTTTTTTTTTAACAATGGAAGTTAGATTGGTACTTTTCAAAGGAAGATCGTCGATAAATAATAGGATTTCATAAAATTCCGGCTGGAGGAAGTTTCACTTGCGAAGCTTGGAATTTTTATTGAATAATGGAGAGGCTATAGGCAGTTTCGATGTAATTGAACAATCAAGGTCATCGACGAGCGTGACCCCCATTATACCACGCTGTCTACTTTCGCTTGCTTCCTTACAAATTATCTAACGCGTATATAAATTTTTCATCAGTATTCCAATATAATAATTTTTTTCGTATCAATATTTTAACATTAGTATTAGTATTCCATTACTAATATTATAATTTTAATATACGATAATTAATATTCTTAATTTCAATATTCCAATATTTTTAAAGATTTTCAAATTTAGTAAAATTATTTTACTAAAATTACAAATAAAATTTAATTTACTAAAATTATTCACAGTAGGTATATATACTCCATTAACCCTTTGACTGTGTCACGCTTCCAGAGAAAACTATCCATTGTGATTTCTGAAAATCAGAAGTGGAGGGAAAAGTTATTATTTACAATAATCGAAACAATTCGCGATATTCAGTTGCTATGCACAATGTAACAGTACGTCCAATTGCACAAAGTATAGGTATATGTATGTACAATATATACTTCTGGTGCACATTAATGTACGTCTATATACGCCTTTCACAGTCAAAGAGTAAATACACTACAATCCGCTCTGCTATATCAACCGTATTCACTCTAGAGGTTTCTCCTCGAAACAATTCACCGTCAAGATTAAACCAATTAAACTAACTTCCCAGCAATGACCATTAATAATCAAATTCCAGACGCAGCTCCTTCGCACGTCCGCGTGAGCGGATCCGGCGTGGCCAGCGAGCCTGCGTGTCCCGATCGATACGCAGCTAGCAAGATGTTGCAGAGCTGCAGCGGCGGCGGGTCCAGATGCGCGAGACGCGCTCTGGTCTTCGTGTTCGCCTGGGGCCTCGTGATGATCGCTGCTGTACAATTCCGTCACGTGGAGAACAGCTTCAGAGAGACTCCGACCGCCGAGGATTCCACCAGCGAGCTTCTTATCGACGATGTTTATCATCGTCGTGAAATGATGAACAATCGTGGCTCTTCCAGCCTTGGTCTATCCAGATACCTGCTTCAAAGATCCTCAGCCGACTCGAGTTTCTCGAATTCAGGAAGTTCAGGCCTGCTGACCACCTTAACCATTCTATCCAACAATCCAACGCGAAATCCTCTGGAATTGGAGCCGTTGTTGGACAAAAGACCAGCCAAAACTGAGGAAGAATTAATCCAAGAGATAGAACAAAGGTTACCAAGCCTACCGCTAGCTTACTGGAGCAAGAACAACAAGTACTCCGGCAGTCAGAGTAAAGTGAAGAAGAACGATAGCTGTTCCAACTTGAAATATCCTTCTATATACGACATAGAGTTTAATAATGTTTATTGGCAGACGATGAGGACCAGTAATGGAACGTTCCAGTTATTCGGTGCTTTCTACGATCGTAGAAAGTTGTCCAGAATTGGCCCAGCCATCAGAATCGTCGGGATGATTGATAGAATCGAGCCAACAGTGAAGACTCATTGTCAACTGTGGTACGATGGTGAGAGAGAGCCGAAAGTTGTTGAAACTTTGGAGTACAAGTACATCTGGTACCCTAAATGGGGTAATTACAAACAGGGAATTTACCAGCCATACGTGATAGCCTGCAAGATTCCACAGTCTCATTGGCTCAAGGGATCGCCTGCATCTGTGTCTATGGTGGAGAAACCATGTGACACTCCAACGAATAATCTCAGAGTCATCTATAATAAACCTGATAAAAAGAAAGACTTTGCTGTCTGTGTGAAGGGTTTGGACTTTCTTCACGAGGATCTGTCTGTCAGACTGGTCGAATGGATTGAACTGATCACTCTGTTAGGAGCTGACAAGATATTCTTCTATCAGCTTCAGGTGCATCCTAACGTGACTAAAATTTTGGATCATTATCAGGGATTAGGCAAGGTACACGTGACACCGTTGACACTGCCTGGTGGACAGCCTAATGTTCCTGCTTTTCAACACATGTATCTAACTAAAAAGACTAATCATAAGAGACAGAACGAATTGATCCCCTATAATGATTGTTTGTACAAGCACATGTACGAATACGAGTACATAGCTCTATTGGACGTGGACGAGGTGATTATGCCAGTACAGGACGCCACATGGCAGGATCTGATGAAGAGGGTGCTGACCAAGGCGTTCAAGATTCGAAATGAAACCAGAGCTTCGTATAATGTGAGGAACGTCTACTTTTTGGACGATCTGCTGCATAGTCACGGATACTTCAAGGATATACCTAAGTAGGTGCATATTGTTATATAGTTACATACATAGTTGGGGGAATATGCTGATATGTCTTGTTCTTTAGTATTGGTATTTTGAGTAAGAAAAAATGACTAAGGGGAGTTTATACTGTGTAGAGCTCAGGAGTTTGACCCTGGAAGGAATGCGAGTCTAGTTGGAGCCCACCTTCTCCAATACAATCGTAAAAATAGGGCACATGTACTGTCATTATTGGTCGACGACGAATCGGATCATTTAAAATTGTGGGAGTAAAGTGCCCCCCTTGCCCCTGTGTCGCCCTGGGAGCAAACTCTTGAGCTCTGCACAGTACATAATTTCAGAATGTACATATTTTTTTAACACAATTTTTTTTTACTGTTTAAGATCACTTTAACGTTGACTATAACCTTCCATTACTTACAAAAATATGTTAAGACGCAAAAAAATATCTATGATTTTGGAATCACCTTCAAAATGACCCTGGGACGTCGTTGCTTTTTTATAATCACCACATGCACATCTTGAAAGCATATAAAATCTAGTTAATCACTCTTTCTTACTTTTAGTACCAGTGGAAATAACTTAGGCATTCGTTATAAGCGAGACACCCTGTAGTGTAGTGTTTGGATTGTGTAACCTGTTGGGATAGTTGGGGAGATTGATTGGGTCGTTTCAGAAGTGGGATGAATAGGGTTAGGTTCGAGGGTTTCATTGTTGATGTTTGTCAGAATTGTAATTGTGTTTGTGAATTGTTTTATTGGGTCAATATTTGTAGGAATGATAATTGTTTGAATTAATTCAGTGTGAATAATAAATTTTGAGGTTATGAATCGTGCAATTTAGATTGTGTGGAATAGTAATATTGGCAGGTAACGTGTTGGGTAAATAAACGTTTAGTTTCGAAATCTGCGTAAATTGCTACTGAACTACCCCATCCCACGGTCTCTTCTGTGTCATTAAAGGTATTGGCAAATTTTAACGTAACTGAGAGGCGGGTCTCCTCTCTAATAAAGTAACAAGTAAGAACTGCGATTTAGCAATCTCTCGAACGCTGCCAGTTAACGCTGAAATAAATGGAAGCAAAATGAAATGGAACCTTCAATCGTTTAATTGCCCCCTAATCTGACTATAAACTCTTAAATATGATAATTTTGGAAGATTGAAATATAAACGTGAAAACTCTGTGGGGATTGTCCTTTGGAATGGGGAGTTTTGGGAATATTGCAGAATTTGGGAACTTGAATGTTTTCAAATATTCAAACTTTCAAATATCTAGAATCTCAAATTTGTTAGTTTTTAAAATTTCATGTTTTCACAATTTCCCAACTTCACCCTTCAAACAATTCAAAATTGAACACGCGTTAAATTCCGAAGATCAAACTTCCCCCGCAGAGAAATCCAAGGAAAAATTCGATAACCAAAACTCCAAACCACCCACTTAAATCCACTTACATGTTCACGATCTGTTCACAGGTACATGCATATGCTACAGCACGTCTATCGTTCCAAAAACTTCACCAAGCCGAATCAATACATCAAGTGCTTCCACAATCCAGAGAGGGTTGTAACCTTACACAATCACTTTCCCTTAGCCTGCTTGGGCGCTGGATGCACTAGTTACCCTATTGAAACAGAGGATGCACAGCTACAACATTATCGTGCGGATTGCGTGAAATCGTTGAAGAAAACTTGCGTGGAATATCGAGAGAATAGTGTGTTGGATAAGACCATATGGCGATACAAGGATCAATTGATCGAGAGGGTGACCAGGACGTTGGAAACTTTAGGCTTCTTTGGACCAAGCTAGCGCGAGCCAGACTTCTTGACTTTCTATTTCGTGTGCTATCGACGACAAAGCCTAAGATCGTTTCCTTCGTTCCTCTCGTTCCACTTTTCATCGATTTCCTTGGAAATGGTCCAACGTGCGAGAGGTTTGCTACTCGAATGGTCGTTGGATAAACGTTTGCTTCGATCAACGAAGAATGTTCTACAACTTGAAACGTTGAATTATATTTTTGCGCTGTCAAATGAAAAAAATTTCTTTCTCTTTTGAAACGAAAATGGAATTTCTACGATGGATAAGTCAGTGAATGAATATTTGCCATTTGGCAGGTATTGTGAAATTTATTATATCGAATCAGTATATTCTGAGAGTAGAGATTTGTGAATGGAGATTTGAATGTTGAAATTTCAATTATTCGTCTTCCATATTACAGCAGAAAATTATTTTTTTCCTTGAAATATCGTCAAAATTTTTTTATACAATCTTCCGTATCCATCCATGTTCCACTGCAAAAAATTAATTCCTAAAAATCTCTTTAAAACTGAACCCTTCTTACACTGAGCAAAAAACTGAAACTCCTTGAATGATATCATCGTTCCACCGATTAGCGTAAAAAAACCTGCAAAAACTGGATTTTTCACGAGATAAAAAACCACTTCCTCAATTAACGTAACATCACTTTTGCGCTAATTTTATTCATCAACTATACCGTTTATATTTATTCTTTCTAATTGCTGGATAAGATCAGTGCAATGTTTATTTCATGTTAATTGAGGAATTAGTTTTTCTTCTATACATGAAGAAAATTCAATTTTTCGCGGTTTCGTAAATTTTTTTAACAAACGAAGCATTCGTTGATTCTCCGACACGTTCGAGGACAAAAAGGCTGTGTAATTTGGACGGAGCGTATGACAACGATTAGTGTAAATCCGTAGACTAAGGAATAGCGTTAACGAATTTTCCAATTTGTGCCACTCGACGGAGAGAAAACTAGAGCAATCGCGATTCATGGGATAAAAAACCAAACGTCCTTCATGAGAGAGTCCCGGTATCAATTAATTCTCGAGTGAACTACATACTTTTACAAGACGTTCGATACGATTAATTTTTCTCTTTTCTTTTTTTTTCTTAACGAGATCGAATGACATCGAACGCCATTGGAAAACCAGGCAATTAGAAATTCGAAACGAGGCGAACTCGTGTACAACGAAATTTGGAACGAGTTTAACCGAACGAGTGCTATTCAGATAATTCGATTAAACGAAGAATTTCAATTTTCAATTTCCAATATATTTTAAAATTCGTACACTCTGATTGGTACTCGCAGAAATCGTACATTTTACTAAGATTTCTTTACTTTTCTTTTATTCTATTCGAGCAGTGAAATTAACTTTGGTTATTACTATTTCAATTCGAGTTTCAATTAATAAAATTTAATACTCAGATTTAATGTTTACGCTCCTGGATTTAAAAGAAATTTTTGCTGTTGTCATTCGAATAGTGACATTGTTTTCCTTCTTTTTAAATATTACTTCAACTCTCCAAATGTGCGAGACTTGAATTTCAACGAGTAAAATGGATATTAGAAAATACTTCAATTAATTGCACGAAGTATTTGAACATTTTAAAGTTCGATCATTTTAACCGATAACTCACCGAAATAAATTTCGAAAAATTCGAGCAACGCCTACTCGAAATCGAGCTAATGGACACGAAAAGAAATTTCGAAACGCGTTAATCTTAGCTTCAGAGCGAATAATGGGCCACATTGAATTACATGTGTGTCTTGAATTCAACGAAAATACGAAGGAACGAACGTTCGAGAGTCTCCGCCGTTCGTCAATTGCACAACGCTATACTCGATTTATCGATCTGACAAGAAAATCGGCAGGGACTCGCGAAGATCGTCATTTTCACGAAGCTTCGTTGTATTATCTTAATCTAGCCATTCTTTTGTCCTGTATCGAACAATTTAGAAACACAGTTTGCGTCGATCTATCGAAAACAAGTTTCATTTACGAGTATACTAATACAGGGTGCTCAAAAAGAAGTCGACATTTATTGCTACTTGGCGTAACTCAGAGAAATGTAAACTTTACTGGAAAAGCATTTGAAAATTTGCATTTGATTAATAGTTGCGTGGGTCCTATATGACCCACGTTATTGCATTCATTATATACAGATTATTTTTCAATAGCAGTACGTTATTTATAAAATGTTATATACACGATAATTATTGTACCATTTAAATGATACTATGAAACATTTCGTGGTAATGTTTCAAAGAAATGAGTGAAATAAAAAAAGAGAAAATATACCTAACCTACAAATTCTCGATGGATAAGTGTTAACATGTTTTTGAAGCACCCTGTAGATCAAGAAGGACGTTGATCTATGTTTCTTGTATGAAAAGGAAAGAAAATGATAAAAGATCGATGTAGGAAGTTGTTTCGTATAATTTTTTTTTTTTTTTCATTTTTCGTTTGATCGATCACGTGACAGGATGATGCATTTATTAATAGTCGTCGGTGAGGTTGTTTAAAACCGAGTTCCACGACCTTACGTTTAGTATTAATTAGCGTTATTATCCTCTTTTTTTGAAGACTAGGACTCGCAGTATCCGTAGTTCTCGTAAATTTTTTTCCTATTTCCTACTTTTTTCCCTCTCCTCATCGTTTCCGTGTGTATCGGGCGGAAGTGAGAAAAGGGATTTATCAAGAGTGATCACGGGAAGAAAGTTGATTGTGAATGTAGATGATGAAGAATAGTATCGATCGTAAATTGAAAACTAATTTCTTCTTCTTTCTTTCCTTTTGTAATTTATTACTTTAAAAAAATTCTGGTGCAATTTGACGAAATATTTTTTAAACACTCTATATATGTGGACTATCGAGTTGCGTAAAAAAAAAAAAGAAGCTCCATTTTCAACATGCTGCACGAAGAGAGAATGGTTTCGAGTTCACGATCGATGCTGTAATACGAGTTTACTGTAAACTAACGATCGTAATTCCGGTTGAATAGCGTTCCTTGCGCGTTTCAGTGGAACGTAACGAAAGGCCTCTTGTTCCAAGGATGTACGAGCATAGTAAATCGAGAAACAGCGTGGTCGATGATGTTAAGTTTGGTCACGTAAACGGAGGACGACACGAAATAAATTGTCTCTGGATGCAGACGCTGACTTTTTTGGAAAAATTGCGTGGCGCTCTGTTTATTTTTTACGTCACGATCGAGCGTCCTGTATATTACGCAATACGATGGCATTCGATGCTAATAAGATGTTCGGGATTGCAATAATTTCTTGAGCATCCGAGAATTTGAAAATTGGAGAGAATTCAGGAGATACGAAATTCTAGATTGTGAGAATTCGGGAATTCTGAAATTTGAGAACTTGGAAGTTTCTAAATTCAAAGCTTTGAGAATTCGAAAATTTTGAAATTCGATAATTTGAGAATTCGGGATTTTGGGAATTCGATAATTTGAGAATTCGGGATTTTGGAAATTCCAAACTTCGAAAATTCGAAAGCTTTCAAATTCAAAACTTCGAGAATTCAGAATTTCTAGATTTCAAAAAATTTGGAATTCGAGAGTTTTGAAATTTGAAAATTTGTTTCACACCACGAGTTTCACAGTAGAACGAAAGTACATCCGTGGAACGATCGAATGCTTTCTTCCCGCGTGTGTTTCCTTCGTAACTAGAGGCGGGCTTCATACGCTCGCGCTCTCCTCTCCTTTTTACATGGTGAACCTCGATCGCTTTCTACGCGACACGATCGTTTCCTTTCCTTTTTCTTTTCCTCTGTGTGCTGTCAGGTGAGAGCGCGATTGACGTTGCACCATGAACTAATTCATAGACTACATTATTATTATTATTATTATTACGATAATTAATATCCTTATTATATATTAACGTGTAACAGATTTGTCCATTGAATGTTTCAACAAGGGATATTTATACTCTTACATATTTACACATGCATACACATACACGTTTATACACATACAGAAACGCAATGGTCTAAATCAGCGTTTTAATCCATCGAAATTTAGACTTTAATCGTGTAATGTGATTGCAATGATCAGACTGATGATGATATTCCTGCTAAAAAGTATATTTGCGCTCGGTTTCGTGGAGTTTCTCAACGTCCACGTGGTACTTCCGGTTGCTTGGAGATTTTGATTCGTGGTTTTTTCCTTCTTTTTCTCTCTCTTTTCTTTTTTGGTGGTATTTTTTTCTGCTTTTAAGAAAAAAGGCGAAATCGAGCGTCGAAGTGCCTGAAAATCGTCGGACGCGAGAGAATAGCGTTCCTCAAACTCAGTCTCTCAACGATCGACCTCCAGTTTTTATGTAAATACACAGAAGAGTCGGTTGGGGTATTAATAAACCATTACGAGATGTACACGTGTCTTTCGCTTTTTTCTCCTTTTTCCAGGGAATTTTCTACCAACGAAACGAGAACGAGAAAATATTTTGACAAGTTCAACGAACATTTTTAATAAAAATTTGTCTACTGCAACAATTATTGTGTAACTTGTATGTCAACTCTAAACTCACGTATATTTCTTTGCGCTTATTAGAAAAGAATATTTGAGAAGTTTTAAGTTTGCGTTTCTCTGCGAATTGTATATGTGAGTGTCCCTTATCCTCAGAGGGTTAAAAAATAAGTGGATTCTATTTTACTAAGAGAGACATGGTTGACATTGTCGACAGATAGTAACAAAATCACTGTCTCAGATGGTAAGTAACTGGTGTTGGTAAATTAGGTATTAGCAGGTAAACGTGAACCATTTCAAAATTGTACCACAACCCTTATCCTCAGAGGGTTAAAAAATAAGTGGATTCTATTTTACTAAGAGAGACATGGTTGACATTGTCGACAGATAGTAACAAAATCACTGTCTCAGATGATAAGTAACTGGTGTTGGTAAATTAGGTATTAGCAGGTAAACGTGAACCATTTCAAAATTGTACCACAAACACGAGGCATTGGCATACATACCCATGCATATAGAGTAAGAACCACTCAACCGATATATTTTTTGGCACACGACCATTCTACTGTATCG